TTGCCCCCATAAAAGTAGGTGCTAATCCGACTCTTCTGTCCTCTTCTGTATATTTTTAGATTTCACTGCTGGACACTGGTGGCTCTTTTGTTGTAAGGCATCAGTGCCTGACGCCCAGGCAGTCTACCCTGTACTTCACAGGGATGTGTGAATTACTTCCTTCCCATCCCACTGACCTATTTACAAAATGTTAGAAATAATTCGAAATAATGGTAAAAAATGGTAGAGTGCTGTTAGAAATATTTAGAAACTATTGGAAATGTCATATTCCACATCAGGAATATTTCAAGCGTTTTAGAAAACCAGGGAATTATTTAGAATATTGACAAGATGTTCAAAATATTTCCATATTATGAAATTTCTTAGACAAACAATTACAAAGAATTCAAAACATTTCTAAATAATGACAATAACAACCCACACGGTGACGCGGAATTGACTCTACAAGAGATTCCCAAGGAACTGCAGGAGAACTTCTGGTGTTTTTATGTTGTATTTGGGGAAAGTTCTGGATAAGCAATGAAGATAATTTTTTGCAAAATTGATAGCTGTTCTATTTGAGAAGTGTCATAAATTTCGACCCTACATGCCAATTTAAGTTTTGCATCAATAGATAAAGGTTCAAACAAAGTCAGTGTCAAAACTCAGCAACCAACAACTTTCCAAGTAATCCTTGCTTTTCTCTATGCAAATTGAAGGCTGTTTAATAGTTTATTCAGTTTTAGTGTTTTCCTGATAAAATACCCAGACAGAAACTCTGAAATTAAATGTTGTTCATCTTCATAATCCAGGACTATGGAGGTAAGTTCGGATGTTGTTCCCATGGCAACAAGCAGCGGTGGCTCTGATGGCATCAAAAGAGGATCGGATGGGAGATCTGCCAAAAAAATGTACAGGTGTGAGGAGTGCAGCAGGCAGTTCAGTAAGCTGGGCAATCTCAAGGCACACATGCGGACTCACACAGGTGAGAAACCGTTTAAGTGTGAGGAGTGCAGCAGGCAGTTCAGTCTGCTGGGTGACCTAAAGACTCACATACGGACTCACACAGGGGAAAAACCCTACAGGTGTGGGGAGTGCAGCAGGCAGTTCAGTCAGCTGGGTGACCTAAAGACTCACATGCGGACTCACACAGGGGAAAAACCCTACAGGTGTGAGGAATGCTGCAGGCAGTTCAGTCAGCTAAGTAGTCTGAAGTCTCACATGCGCACTCACACAGGTGAGAAACCCTACAGGTGTGGGGAGTGCAACAGGCAGTTCAGTCTGCTGGGTAATCTGACGAAACACATGCGAACCCACACAGGGGAAAAATCCTACAGGTGTGAGGAGTGCAGCAGGCAGTTTAGTCATCTGCATAGTCTGAAGATACACATGCAGACTCACACTGGAGAGAAACCCAACAAGTGTGAGGAGTGCAGCAGGCAGTTTAGTCATCTGCATAGTCTGAAGAGACACATGCAGACTCACACTGGAGAGAAACCCAACAAGTGTGAGGAGTGCAGCAGGCAGTTCACTCAGCTGAGTAATCTGAAGTCTCACATGCGGACTCACACAGGGGAGAAACCCTACAGGTGTGAGGAGTGCAGCAGGCAGTTCAGTCAGCTGAGTAATCTGAAGTCTCACATACAGACTCACACAGGTGAGAAATCCTACAGGTGTGAGGAGTGCAGCAGGCAGTTCAGTAGGCTGGGTAGGCTGAAGAGACACATGCAGACACACCTGTGAGAAACCCTATAGGTGTGACTGAGGAGTACAAAACCTCACAGTTTCGAGGATTGTGTTGTGAGCCTGGTCCTATGAAATATCCAATTTTCAAAGTCTTACAGGGAAGAAACTCCAACAGTGTGAGGAGTGCACGTGCAGCAAACTGTTTACCCACCTGGGCCATTGCAAGAGACACATACAAACTCTCAAGTGGGTGATTTTAGAATATCTCAACTTGTGTGCAGGCCATAATGACCTATAGAAGGTGGGTCATGTGAAACCATACAAGAAAAAAAGAAATACTAGTATTTGGATTGATGACATTCATGTTGTACAAGATACCTTTTTGACTATGAGCAAGTTGTATTTACAATCATGTTAACTCTCTTTTATGTGAAAGTGAGGAATAAAACTGGTAACGAAAAGCTATGATGTACTACAAAGAACGTTTCAGTACCCCTTGTTAAGTCTACAGCATAGCATAGGGGATATAAAACCTCAATGTATATCAAGCTAACTAACCCGTAACCTAAGTTTATTTGTTTAAAGTTCTTTTGTTATACAGGATTCTAGAGTTTGGGTTTTATAGATATTAGCATGTTATGGTTTATTCTGTTAACCTAGATATTGGATTTATTTATAGATTCTTTATTTAGTATAGTATTCGCTTGTTTCTAATTGTTGCCATAGATGACAGAATTACCTGTAGTTCATGTAATTGTAGGTAAATAAAGACTAGTGTTGTTGCTGATATTCTAAACAAGTGTATACCATTTTGTAGCTATAGTTATAGAAGCTAATATTTACTCTTAAAGTACATAGATCTATATGCGAAGTGAGTGCCCGTTGTTACTAGTCGTTTGTTACTTGTATGTTAAGATCCATTGGTTTAAGCCGTTTTCATTTGTTGGAAATAAATTTTCCTTTTGAATTTTAGGTTTTCCCTGACAAATCGTTTCAATATTAGACTAGAGCATTCATAGATATTTGAAAGGCTGTCTCGTCAAGAACAAAACCTAGGGCTAGAATTTGGCTTCTCTTCCCAAATTCTGATCTTATTCTCTTCTGTGGTAAAAAAACATATCTCCAAGCAGATGTTGGGTGGAAGAATTTAACACTTTCTGACTGCTAGGGCTTTTCTGGCAGTTACAATTGCTTGTCATCTGGCCCATGCCTTTTTTCTGGAACAGCTCAATCATACTTATTTATAGTGTAAATATTGCAAATTAAGATTATCAATAAAATGTAGAGTCAACATAAAACTGTAGAGTAAAATCTATAGCTTAGTACTGATTACTGGTAGGCAGAAACAACAAACACATCAATTCAAACATAAGAGAGTGGTTTTATTGTAATTAGCAAATTCTCGTGACTTTTACAGACGTGTGCATGCAGCAACGTTATCGTTTAGTAGACATGCCCAAGCCCCCCCACCCCACCCCCACTTCTTTGCTTGCCGACAAAATTATAGACATTGTGCACACAAGATGACAGTGGCAACAATACTCTTGCTTTGTTTTTTTTCTTCCTTATGAATATCATTTTGTAGGTGGGATAAAGGGTATTACAGACTTTATATCTCCTTTCGACATCTATCTGCATTTCATACTTTCACCCCAGGTGATATTCTATTACTTACCACACAGCAAGATTGGCAACAAGAGGTGTTGCCATGGCGAATGTTTCAAGTTTTAATTGGTACATGTATTTATTTAAGTTTTCAGTCACGTGCGTTACAAAACAACTTATGGGTATAATTTGCCCAAGAAAAGGCATCTACAGGTGCCCATTGTGAACACATTGTTTTTGCTTTGCTTCTTCTTCTTTAAACAAATAAAGTCAGTGACCTTGACAAGACCTTTGTCACCATGGTGACTGACCTGTAGCAGACACATCGTGGTGTCAGGGTACATTATGTATAGCAAGTGGCAGTTGAAGTTGGAGGGGCTGGTCACCATATACTAGTATATGAATGTGGTTGAGTAAGAATAATCAGAGCAGTAGCAGGCTAGACCACGTGAAGGTAAACATTCTGCATTTGCCTTTCAAATGTTACTTTTCTACTTTCTATGGCATCTTTCCTTTTATGTTGCTCATTACTCGGAGTTTCCTTTTTCGTGCTCAGGACAGAAGGATCGGAAGAGGCGGTAAGTCAAGCTCAAAGCGACACTTCACTGTCTTGGGGTGAAGTAATAAAGGGAATGTCTAGATTATGTGGAATATACAACACTAAATGTCAAATATGTCAATCATGTAATGATAGACATGGAACGTAGACTGTAAATTTTCTTCGTGTGGAAACTGAAGCGTGGCTACAATATTACGGACCAGTTCGTCATAGAGCCTACTCGCGCCCCAGCGTGCTAGCATAGGTACAACAACGAACGAAGCGACGAATATTTCACCTTGTTCATAACGAGACCTTTTTCCTAGCCAGAGAAAGAGCGCCTTCCTGTGCCATGCTTCGGTTCCCTGGTCTTGGAATGCCTCAAACTGAAAGTCAGGCCACTCCGTTCTTCGTTTTTGCACAATGTCGTCCGAAACAACCAAAATGACGATGTGACCTTTATCCACCAAAGCACGGCCGATTCGGGACAGAGCCGTCCAGTGGCTTTTGCTCAAGTTGGGGGAGGTACAAGCAGAACGTTCTCTGAGCTACAGAAGTCTACGGAGATAAAACCGAGAAAAACAGGTAGAAGAATGGCGGAACAAAGAAGCTTCGACGCGATTTCCATGTTGCTGTCCTTGACTCCTTTCAAACGACGCTGGACAGGTGACCAAATTGCATATAGACACAGACTCCGGACAAGGTCTGAGGAATCAATGCCGAAGCTTAAGTCTGGAGACAAGTCACGGAGGGAGTGTAAAGGGTCAGTTACTGGTATATATATGTGGCGTCGTGTGGCGTAGTGGATAGAGCGTTCGGCGCTCGACAAGGAGCCCCGGGTTCGAAACTGGGTCGGAGCACGGGGGCATGTCCGAACATGCGCACCGACGTTGTGCCCTTGGGAAAGGCACTTTACACGTACCCCCCCTCAATTAGAGGGTCAAGTCTCCAACGGCAGTTGTCTTCAGCTGGCAGACGAGAGCAGCGCCAGGCGGGCTGGCGTGATCAAGGCGGAACTTGAGCGTAACCAAGTCACCGGCAGCTCGCTGCAAGCACCCGAACCGGAACCAGCACGTCTCCCTCGATGGATCCGCTGGGGAAGACGGATGCCCAAGTGTGTGGGTCTCAGATTCGCAACCTGTTATCCACCTTAAACAAATTCACGCGAAGGCTACCGTGTCCCTGCACCCTCACTCAGGTGCAGGGACTGACACGGTCATCATACTCGGAAAGTCTGTATATCTGTACACGAATCTGTATCTGTGCATGAATATGTATCTGTACATGACTCTGTATCTGATTACAAATAAAAGATCACGAGTGATTGATTGCCATAACCACTGGTATATAGCCAGGCCAGATTGCCATAACCACTGGTACATAGCCAGGCCAGACAGGTAGGCGTAGCCGTCTAACCAGTTTGTTTAAACGTCCTTGGGACTTGGTGCATGCTGGGAAAACACAGCCTTTGAACTCTACGCACTTTGCACTTGTTACATGAAATTTGATCACCCGCCCAGCGTTGTTGGAACACAGTCAAGGACAGCGACATGGAAATCGCGCCGAAGCTTCGCTGTTCCGCCGTTCTTCTACTTGTTTTCTCGTGTTTTATCTCCATGCACTCCTGTGTATCAGAGAAGGTTCTGCTTGTACCTCCCCCAAGAGGCAAAAGCCACTGGACGGCTCTGGCCAAAGTTGGCTGCGCTTTGTTGGATAAAGGTCATATCGTCACTGTGGTTGTTTCAGAGGACATTGTGGAAAAACGAAGAACGGAGTGGCCTGACTTACAGTTCGAGGCATTCCAAGACCAGGGAACCGAAGCAAGGCTCAAAGCACAGGACGACGTTCTTTCTGTGGCTAGGGAACTTTCTCCCTATGAGCAACGTGAAATACTCGTCGCTTCGTTCGGAGAGTTTAGAAACTACTGCGCCATTCTTCTGGGTGACAGTGGCTTGCTTGTCCGCCTAAGGGCATCCCAGTACAGTGTTGTTATTTCTGACCCCCTCTTTCCTTGCGGCGCTATCCTCTCAGCTCACTTCCGGGTTCCCCACATCGCCCTTATGCGTGTGGATCCTTACTGTCTTGACGAACAATCTACCGGTGTGCCTCTTCCTCCGTCATACGTGCCTTCTTTGTTTACCGACTTTACCGATGATATGAGCTTTACACAGCGACTTCAGAACGTCTTACTGTACACTTTCTTACCTGTGCTATCACGCTGGGACGCAAGTAGCCTCTATGACGAACTGGCCAGTAAGTATGTCGGCGAGAAAGAAACTCTTCAGAGTGTGGCATCACGCACAGACTTGTGGCTCTATCGAAAAGATTATCTGCTAGATTATCCTCGTCCCAACATGCCCAACATGGTTCAAGTTGGGGGACTGAATGTACCTGTGGCCGCCCCACTGACTAAGGTGAGTTGAATATTCAGGTTTAGTTTACAAGCTCGTTTAGTCCAATATGCAAGAAAGCATCGCTCCTATCTTTACTTCCGGATCGGAGGTATTGTTTTCAGTCGCGTTAATTGAATGTGTGTGTGTGTGTGTGTATGTGTGTGTGTGTATGTATGTGTGTGTGTGTGTGTGTGTGTGTGACGGTGTATGTCTGTGTCAGTGTTAGGGGGTAGTGTTCAGCACCATTGAAGGTCATGGATGTGTGTGTGAGTGTGTGTGTGACGGTGTATGTCTGTGTCAGTGTTAGGGGGTAGTGTTCAGCACCATTGAAGGTCATGGATGTGTGTGTGTGTGAGTGTGTGTGTGACGGTGTATGTCTGTGTCAGTGTTAGGGGGTAGTGTTCAGCACCATTGAAGGTCATGGATGTGTGTGTGTGTGTGTGTGTGTGTGTGTGTGTGTGAGTGTGTGTGTGACGGTGTATGTCTGTGT